CATATTTTCCGCCATGGTGGTTTAAAACCAACACGGCTAACAAATAGATACTCGCCTTATATGGTTACATTTTTTTTTACAATAAAAAGGATAATTAGACAAAATAAAGTCGTGGACGGAAATAAAAACGTGGAAAATTAAACTTGATAACAATAAGCACGTAAAAACTAAAAATAAAACCGAATAAAGTTGATAAACAACAATTAAAATAAATAGGAAAAAGGAAATAAAATAGAATGAAAACGGGAGGGTGGTTAACAACACAACAAGGAAAACAAACTAAAGAAAGAAAAGTAAACAAATGAAAACAGGCACACACAAATAAAAAAGAAAACTGAGAAGTTCAAAAGTTCAACAAGATTTCAACAAAATTAAAATAATAAATTTAACAGTTCGTAAGTAAGGCGAACTTGGGGTGGACTGAAAGAAAAATTCCAAAGTAACAACGCATTGAACTAAACGCAACTCGGCTACACCTTCAGCTAGTATAGAGAAAATATTTATTTTGTAAAAAAAAAACAAAATTGTGGCACAAGGGCCAAGGGGAAATGGGGAAAGACTGGTTTTCACGGACTATCCCAGTCCTAGTTAAGCGCAATCACAACCCATTTTTCAATACAATATGCTCAATCGCCACAAGAACTTGTCCATCACCTCCCAATTCTACATGTACCACAATACCACATATTCACAAGGAACCTGCAAAACACCCCATAATGTAAAAAATTATAATGTTCATAAAGTCTGTTTACAAAAATATATAAAAAATGTCATGAAATATGAAATGATGGGAGAGGAGAGATGAATGCAGAAAAGAAACTCAAAAGGTAAACAAAAGATGTAAACTAAATCAAAACAAATGTTAGTAGGAACAGTCCACCCGTCAAAATAATAATAAGAGTGGCCGCTGTATTCTGTCAATAGACAGAATCAAGAAGTACACACTCACTAATGGAATGGGAAGAATAAAAATAAGTGACGGAATGGGGAAAATCATAGGCTGACTCTGTCGGGATGAAAAAACAAACTGGGGAGGGTTGGGAATCTCAACATGGGTCATAACAAAAGAGAGTGCCCGGGGGGAAAAGGCCAGAAACAACACCTATTCACGTTAAATAGGAAAACATAACTGTCTAACTTAACCACAGAAAACCGGCCCGTTGCATTACAGGAACTTAAATGAGAAAATCAAGGCTAGCCCCGTCCACACGAACCAGGTTCGTCTCAGTTACCCACCTTTCGCTGAAATCTGTCAAAATCAAACGTTTTCTATCAGATCTGATTTTACGCTAAGCTGATGCTTAATGAAAACAACCAGATCCTGATGCGAATAACGTTCATCTCGCAAGTTTCCTCCTTTCGCAACGTCCACACCACCATTCTAGCCACGGCTAGCAACGTCAAAAAAACACCATCCGTTTTACCCAGGAGAACGGGGGCGACACGTTGTTACACGTGTATGTAAGATCAATGGACATGAGCTAATCGAGAGCGATACGAGTCGGCAACTCGCCGACATAATCTAGGAAATGGCGCACCTGAGGACAATGGTAGAAGGCGTGCGAAACTGTTTCTTCTAAGCCAAGGTCACACCGATGACAGTCTGAAAAATCTTCCTAGCTCCATCTGAAGAGTACGTCATTGAGAGGTAGTACGTTCTGAATCAATCGCTAGCTAAACGAAAATTGCTTCCTGTTTAGTTTCTACATCGCCTGTGGCTATTTCGGCCTTGCTTCTAATGGGTGAGACCTCCGAAACCTTCCCAAACTGAGAAAAGTAAAAGCCCAGATGGCACTCCGATATAAATAAAAGAGCTATGTGTAGGGTAATATTCGACTTCCTCGTTCCCAAGTATTCCGTTTGTAATCGGACAGTTTTGGTTGCCAGTGACTTAGCTGCGTCTTCAGTGGCTGGATGTCCCACATCGCATTACTTCGTCTTGCTCGGATTTTTGCTGAAATTTGAAAGCTTTTCAGGGCCTCTTCTTTTAACTGCAATCAGTTTTCTAGTTTTAAAATCAGTTGTCAGTAGGGAAATTGTATAGGTGTTCACCGTTTCCATGAGAGACGGCACCGGTAGCAGTTTGTTTCCTTTAGTGAACGATTCATATAGGTCCATAAGTGTTTTATTTTCTGTGGGCGGCCTATCCGTTGCCCTCGCTGAAGGGTTTGACATTAGGAGATTGGAGCTCCAACGTGATGTTGGCGCACCCACATCACCACACACAATAAAAAACAATGTAACAAAAACCGGAATATCACACACACACACACACATATATATATATATATATACATACACACATATACATACATATATATATACACACATAGATACACATATATACATATACACACACACATATACACATATATACATATACACACACACATATATATATATATATATACACACACATATATATATACATATATATACACACATATATACACATACATATATATACACATATACACACATATATATATATATATATATATATACATATATATACACACACACATATATATATACACACATAGATATATACACACACATATATATATATATACACATATACGCACATATATAAACACATATATATATACACACACACATATATATATACATACATATATATGTATACACACATATATATATATATATACATTCATATACACACACACACTCACATATATATATATATATATATATATATATATATATATATATATATATATATATATATGCTGTTATTCAAGTTCCTGGCAATATTCTTCCTCAAATCCCTTTTCAGTACTGCATGCGCTGACTTACATCCTTCTACAACAGCAACTTATTGCGATCACTAGAAGGGTTTTCCCAGTCATCCACCCCCACCCTAAGCTCTTTTAAGTTATTCCTCATACAACTTTTAAATCTCGTTTTTGGCTTCTGTTGAGGGCGCTTACCATTTGCAAGCTCGCCATAAAATAGCTGCTTCGGCAACTTACTGTCATCCACGTGTATCACATGTCCGGTCCATCACATCTGGTTTTTAATCAGTAAGTTTTCTATGCTTAGCTAGCAGGTCCTGAGAAGATCAGTGGTGTCTGGTATCATAGACTGCTATTTCATGTTAAGGATTCTCCTTAGACAATTTCAGATGATGACTGTATATGGTCCAGACTTCTGAAGAGTACAAGAGGGCGGTCAGTACACAAGTTTGGTAAACTGTCACTTTACTGCTGGTTATGCCTCTGTCTGATCACAAACGTTTCTCTCACTTTCCAAATGCAACTAAGGCCTTTTGGATTTGAGTATGTACTTCAGCACCAAGGGATCCATCTTGAGACAATGTACTGCCAAGGTACACAAATGTATCCACAACACCCAAACGAGTGTCAATGTCATGTATGGTTGGTTCAATGTAAGGCATACCAGAAGGAGGAGTGAACATTATTTTGGTTTATAGTTAGTCCAAACGCAGTAGCAGCATCTTAAAAACGGTCCATCAGTATCTGTATATCCCTCTCAGAATGTGCAACAAAGTCAGCGTCATCAGCAAAGAGTAACTCATGCACAAGGGTATTGAAGGTCTTGGAATTGGTGTTAAACTTTCGGAGATTGAATACCTTACTGGTCGTTCAAAATCGAAAACCAATTCCAATGTTGGAACCAGGAAACGCGTATGAGAGAGCCACAGCAAAGTAATTAGAGAACAAGGTAGGCGCGGGAATGTCTCTCTGTTTAACACTGTCTTTGGCTATTTGGTCTAATAATTCCCCGTTAACCGTGACACAAGCTTTCATATTGCTGTGCAGCTCCTTAAACATATTAATGAAATTGTGTGGGCATCCAAGTTTAGCAAGACCTTTCCAAAGAGAATCACGGTTGACGGTATCAAAAGCCTTAGTTAAATCTACGAATACTCGGTAAGAAGCATGTTCTGTTCCAAACATTTTTCTTGCAGTTGTCGGGCAGAGAATATCATGTCAATTATTCCCCTTCCAAGTCGAAAGCCACATTGTGGTTCATGTAATATACGAGGACATATATGTGATAACAGCTTGTTAAGGAAAAGTCTAGCCAAGTCCTTTGCAACAGATTCAAGGAGTGTTATGCCAACGGTAATTGTCACAATCAGACTTGGATCCTTATACAGGTAAACAAGGGACACCATTCATCCAGTCAGTGGGAATTTGTGTTCCTTCCCAACACTCAAGTATAAAGCTATGCACACTTGAATTCACAATTTACCCTCAATACTGCAGTAATTCCACAGGTATGCCATCAATCCATTGCGCTTTACCAGCATTAATCTGACTAATGGCCATGTCAGTTTCTTCCTTACATGGTGAAACATCTAAATCCATAATGATGTCACACTGTGGAAAACTTTCTATAGCAGTTTCGTCTACTGCTAAGAGGTTGAAAACAAATCTGTAAATTACTGATACCACCGCTTCATGAGACCGTCAGAATCATTTCTTAACACTGATCAGTCTTTGGATTTGAGTGGAGCCACAGAGGCTGAATGTGAACCAAAAACAGATCGCAAAAGTAGAGTCGCTTCATGTTATAATAATTAGCTGCTTGTTGTATTTCATCTACGTTAAACCACCACTTGGTTTTCATTACTCTCAGGCCACGTTGCAAGTTTGCTTTGTGCATCTTAAGGGATTTTTCAACCTGTGGTCTGATATTCAAATTAGGATCAAGAATGGACTTGATCAATGAATGCTTTTTCTCAAGCAGCTGACTGATTTTGTCATCGTTCTTGTCAAACCAGTCTTTGTGTTTCTTCAGGTTTAGTCCGAGTATGTCAATGCCGGTTGCGCGGAACTGCTCCCTGAAATTATCCGAAGATCAATCGAAGTTGGTGTTGTTAAGGGCATCAGGAAGTTACTGACGGACACCAGGCTGTTTCATTTTCTCTACATTCATGCGCTTTGGTATTTTAATTCCAGCCTTACGTACTTTCCTTCTGACCTGCAATTTAACTTTCCCTGGATCGACTTATGGTCCGTATCACACTCAGCACTGCGCAAAACACGGACATTGCAGACATCTTTCAGATCACAGCTTCTGGTAATGATATGGTCGATCATGTGTCCATGTTTTGATTTTGGGTGGGTACATGTCACTTTGTGTTTCTGTTTTTGACGAAAGAATGTGTTACAGATTACCAAGTCGAGTTCAGAACAAAGATGAAGTAGGTTCTGACCATTGTTATTGACCTTTCCAGTTCCATAGCGACCAGCTGCATTCCATACCGGGTGCTCTCTACCCACTCGGGCTTTGAGATCCCCAAGTAAAATTAGCTTTTCCTATTTTGTAATGCCAATTATGGTCTCTCGAAGAGACCCGTAGAACTGCGTATCGGATCATACACAGAAAGGATGGACATATAATGTCCACAAGAAAGTGGGACACGCAGAGAGGAGCGGATAGTAAAGCCAAGTCCCCTTTCTCTTTTCTCATCTTTCGATTTTCCTATCCAAAAGATAATGTATCCTGTATCCTGATTTCACCTCCATTAAGTGATCCTCATCAGAGAAGCGAGTTTCCGAGAGTGCTGCAATGTCACTGTTAAGTCAACAGAGTTCCTTTGTCACCAGAGCTGTTCTTCGTTCTGGTCTGCAAGATCAAGTAGCGTTCGAACGTTCCAACATCCGATATTCAGTGATATGCGCTCCTTAGCATATCGTTTAGTATTTATATCTCTTTTGTTCCTGCTATAATGAACAGCCGCCAGCCGCAGTAAACTGACCAGCTTGAGGTGATTACAAGCAATTTTTGATGCACCTTTTCTAGCATCCTCCTGACAACTCCGGGTGAGCAGTGCTGTCTCTGAACAGAGCTGTTTAGACACAGGAACTTCCATCGAGATTTGCCTTTGGCATCCATTAGGCAAGATAGCGATGTTAGATAAAACTCCTGCCACCTTTGTGCAAGATTCATGACTACAGGCCTCCAACTCGTCAAGTCTGCCTACGTCGCCATTTCTCCACCACCAAAGGAATTTAACAAAAGATGTGATAACACATAAGATGAGTTAACAAGACATCCGTACATCAGTGGGTTAAAGTGATGTAGGCTTGTACGATACCTACAACACTCTCTGAAACCTTAGTGACTAGCTTCCAGTGACAAGCTATCGCAAGATGACTGGTAGCCACTTCGATCGCAGGTTTTTCCCAGTGTACCTCTCACAAAAGTTTGTTAGAAGATGGACAGACGCATCATAGATTTACACAAATTCACTAACAGGTGCTACCACCCCGGGTTAGGGTGGTCCTGTGAACAACAGCAATTAAAAGGTTGTTTCACGCTCCCGATCAGAAGACTTGCTAACGGATGTAGTTTATCGTCATACCCAGGACATTATATATATATATATATATATATATATATATATACACACACATACATATACATACATTTACAAATTGCTGTCGACTCACAAAGCGAGTATGACCATCACATGATCAGCCTTTCAGTTAAACTCCCGACCCACAACACTAAATTCATCGGTTGTGTGAAGCTAGCCATCGATCTGCATTTCTTGTCACATGTATATATCAAATCATCACTTCCAATGTGCCTTTTCATATGCCTTGTCAAGCCCGACATTGACTTGCACACCCTAGTGCAGGTCGGGTATTCAAAGCATGCCATTACGAAATTGTCATATACAATAAGCTACTGGTGTTGGTGTGACCACTGATGACTGAGCAAACTCAGACATATCTAATTGCAATGGGCACATGGCCAGATTGGCACCTCATGGCATTTCAGAGTCCCTTCCGAACTTCTCTTTTCCGTTCTGCATATTTTGTGACGCCACATGGAAGATAATACCAGCTCCCCAAGAGAGTCTCCCAGTTATCCAGACCAATATTGCGCATGAGTGCTGCAAAAGCATCGGAGGTGATGGTAAAGCTAGGGAAGGCATCGCTAACACTAACATTGATTCCTCTGTCAACGCGCGGCGTAGGAAAAACAACCTTGAAGTGTATCGATAGACGATCAGACGGAGAGTGTCGACTTATTCCGTCAGTTGGGGTTGTTCCTGGTCGATTCGTCGCGTTTAGTTTCAATGGGGGACTGGAATGCCGTCCTGAATCCCAGCATAGACAGGGGTGGGAAGTTAGTGGGAGGTTATCGGGAGATAGTACCTTGGTTGATCTGATCGGCGTGTTTGTACTCGTCGATAGATACAAGGTCGATCATCCGGGGTGGGAGACGTGGATGTGGGTACTTAAGTGGCCTGGATAGACGTTTGTTAAGAAGGGTCGATCTAGATTTGCTAGATTAGACTATGCGGATTATAGACCCGTCTGTGCACGGATGGTGCCTAGAATGGCCGAGTACTGGAAGTTCAATCTGTCTTTACTGGACAGTCGGGACTTTCGACAACATCTAACTAGATTAGTGTAGCGGGAACTAGTTGGGTGGCGGTTATTGGGAATAAGTGGTGGGAGAGGCTTAAGGATAAGATTATGTCCTTCACCACTGATTATAGCCAACAACTCGTTCTAAATAAGGCTACAACGGTGAAGACTCTAGAGTCTGGGCGGTATTCAAGGAGATAGGTTAAACAAAATGTCTAATGAAGCTGTGAATTTGGGCGCAAAATTGCGCAAGGAAGAGATCCGTTGAGGTTCTGATCGATACATTCGCGTAGTCAATACCCCGGAGGAGGGTTCTTTTAGGTCGACGTGTGAGGCGTTTCAATGGGATCTCGAGAGCCGTTTTATCAAGGAGCCTGGTTTTTGTGGCGACAAGTTTCGCAGGTATTTGGCTGATTTTTGCTGCTGTTTATCCAGCAGCTGTTGTTGACATAGCAGCTGTTCCTTCTCCTCCAACCCAAACAGCAGCAGCAGCTGCTGCTGCTGTTTGGGTTGTTCCGGCTTATGCTGTTGCTGTTTCTTCAATTGTTGCTACTTCAGCTTCTCCGGTTCCTGCTGTTGCTCTGCTTAAGCTGTAGCTGGTTAGTCTGTTGTTGCTTCGACTGCTTTGTGTTGGCTTAGCAGCGCCTTTGTCTGGAACATCCTGCTGGGGAGGCGAAGTTGCCGCCTTGGCTCACTCACCGTCACTACATCCTTAGGTTGCTCCCTCTCCGATGGTGCAGGTTGAGGTTGCGGTGCCGGATTCTTGCCAGGACACAATTTCGCCAGTTGACCGTCAGCACCACAAGTTCAACAGTGAGTTCGGCGGTTCTCCATGACTATGAGCATATTCCGTCCGCCGCAGGTGAGCACATTCGAGACTTCATTGAATTTCTTGTGGGACAACGTCACCATGAACTTGTAGTCATTGGTAGCAATGCCCGATTTACACCTGACGGAGGACACCTCCTCTAGTGGTTTATAATCAGAGACCCCCCCAAATGTGATGTACAAATGCACCCCATGCAAGGTAATCAGGATCTTCCGGGTACCCGTGTACTCTATTTTCGCAATCTCTTCCGTTGCCAGCAGGATGTCCCACATGGCTTTCGATCTTCGGTCTAACACTTTGGCCCCAATGTTCAAGGCCTCTTCCATCATGTGCCTGGTGACAGCAACGAATTTCTTTGTATTGACGTCAGCTGTCAACAAGGAGAGGGTTCTGGTAGTGCTTACCTCCATTTCCGAAGGCACCACAATCAGTTCATTTCTTGAGATGGAGCTGAGTATTCTTCTCTCAGGCCGCTGTAGTATTCTGGCCCTTTCTTGGGCCGTTCAGCCGTTCATGCCGATGTAGTTGCTTGGGTGGCTATTGACTCTTTCTGCTGGGAGGGACTCTGCCATGGCGGAGAGTGCCCCCCCCAACAAAAACAGGAACAAACAAAAAAAAAAACAGTTGGTAGACAAAAAATAAAAAGGAGGCACAAAAACGGTTACAAAAATAATGACAAACGTAAAATAGAACACACGGTTCGCCGTACGAGTCTACACTAAGCAACAACGAGTGCACTCATCCAATAAATTCAAATCCAAACATGCTATAAATGATCGCGAAAAACACCCCCTTTCCAAATTTATAGACAAATCGTACAGATGCATACTGGAATTTCTCCCTCACCAATAAAATGAACCACTTTACGGTCTCATCCGCCACATTATTGTTCTTACTTGACTTAAAGTTAAAACGCTACAACCACTTCCCTGTATCCCTTTTGCGTGTTAACACCATTTTTACTTATGAACATTTTGCCTTATCACTTTTACTTTGCCTACTTTTTTTTTTGTATATATATATATATATATATATATATATATATATATATATATATATATATATATATACGTAGTATTACGTCTGTTGGGCATTTTGCCAATGACTTAACTATAGCCAATTACCCTACACATAGAAAAAAAAAGAAAAGGAAGAAAACTATTATAATGATATTATTAAAATATAATAAAATGACTGAGAGAAAAGCAAGGAAACATAAAGAGAATAAAAGATATGGAAAACTGAAAGAATCTTTATGAATAGAATGAAGACAGAGTAAGTAAAAGTGAAAAAGGACCGGATGGAAAGAATAAATTAAGGACTGATGAAGATATAAAATCGAGAAGGAAGCGCGGTAAAGTGAATAAAATATATTAAGTGGAAAATAAAGCTAAATAATTATAATATTAATAAATGAATGTGATTAAAGAAGGAAAATGGAAGAAAAGTGAATTAATGAAATAGAAAGTAGTTAAAAGAATATAATACTACAGAAAAAATTAAAAGAAAAGAGAATTGGTAAAATAATAATTGGTAAAAATCAAGGGAACGAAGAATGTAAAAGAATGGAACAAATCAAGTGAGGAAAATCTGAAAATGATTTTATAAAACAATAAAAGAAAAATAGAAAGAAAGCAAAATAAATAAATAAATAAATAAAATAAAATAGACTGAGAAGAAAGATTGATCGTAAGACACAATTAAATTGACAATAACAATATTAATATCGGAAAATAAGGAAAAAGAAAATTAAAAGGGAAGAAAGAAAGAAAATAGACCCCCCCCCACCAAAATATAAACGTAAAAAGAAAAAAAGTAACAGATTTGATAAACTTGATCCGAGTATTTATTTTTTACTAATGACACAATGCTACAACAATGGGACACCAAATAAAAAGTACTGAATTAGACATGAAAAAGACTGAGATCTAAATATTAGCTTAAAAATATGTTCTTAAATCGTCATTTTGTTCTCAACAACTCTTCACATTAAAAATGTTTACCATAAAAACACTAGCGATTAAAATGGCGGCTGGAATGACATTTACAGTTAACAGGCTGTGTTAAAAACATGTATATTGCTAATCTTTCATAGCGATCTACTGATTGAAAATGGGCGAATGTTTAATTTAAAGATGACATAAATTCGTTAAAAGAATTTCTTCTTATATTAGAAAAGAATCGCTGAAAATTCTAGTATAATGTGTAAATAATCTTGTTTGTACACAGTTTTACCCGTATTTAACAGTATTTTAAGCAGATTTTTCTTCCAAAAGCTACATGTTATATCTGAAGAGTAATTCCTTCCAATAGACAATATTTAACTTTGATCCTAGTCATATTCCATAGCATTTTGGTGTGATCATCTCATTCCTCCATATATACCATTAAATACAGTATATATTTCTATGTGTGTCCTGGAGACATGACATTTGAACTTCAGTTTTCACTTACAAGGTCATTTTCTCATGTTTACAGTTAACAGACATAATAGATGTGACGTGGTAAGTGTATTCTATTTTCTGTTTGTAGATACAGATAAAAATCTACATTAGATACATAAGCTTCATTGAAATATGCAACATGTGGGAATACCCTTTTGAGACGGAGAAGGAAAGAGAGGAAGGAAAAGAAACATTGAATTTGGTTTGTTGAGGTTCTGATGCAAATCATGGTAATTCTCTCACAGAGGCTAAAACTATTAAAGAAAGACTCCGAATTAAAAATGGCAAAAATTAATGGCAATGAAAATCTTCTTGTGATAAGAGTATTAAAGATGAAAACGATAAAGATATATTTTTTGTTGCCATAGTAGCATTAGAAATACGCAAATAATAGAAACGAATCCAAACCAACATCATTGCTGAAAGCATTGATATTACCAAATCAACAAATACTACAATAGCCAACACTGTCTTCTCATATCAAAGGCCTTTTATTTTTTTTATCTTATCAGGGAGACCTATTACTATTGAAATGACTTATCAATACTATTTACAGCTACATCTCATGTGACAGATAAAACAGCTAAAAATAAGCTATACGATGTCTGAAATTCTGTAAAGAAATATAGTCAGTAATTCGAGAATTATTCGAATTGTTTAAATTTTTGTCATTTTTACCACAACTCTCGACCGATGTATTCTTCGGCCTCCTTTCGTATCTTGCAATTCTTAAGTGCCATCTAGTATTTTGCACCCTCATTTGCAAAATGTAGGTATCTTTATGTACAATGTTTTTATGTCTTTCTTTTCAACCAAACTTAAAAAATATGATGGAATTCTCGGCTTTGTTTGATAAATTTCGGAATATCTAGACTATCTAACCCAGAAATTAGAAACGATATAGGTAACAGTATATTATAATGAAAACCTCCTTATATCCATCATTCATTAAATCTTTTTATATGTCCTACATTAAGTTTAATTATAACAAATGAGGAAGATGCTGTTTGCATGGAAGAACTAAAGATATTTTGATGATGGTCAAATCGAAATAATAACTATGCTCATGATAATAACATAGCTTGATATAAAAGAGAATAGCAACTCCAAAATCTTGAGGGCATTTGTTTCGTTATTTTATTATTATTTCAAAGCATGAGTGACCTGCTTACCCAGTCACTTTCAAGGAGCTAGATATTTCGCACGGGGCCATGTGTTTCTTTACCTACAGCTTACCTTCCAACTCTAACCCATGCGAAATTGAGCAAGTTTATCCAAATTGTGACTCCACCCTTGATAAGAGAAAAGATTGCGATCAGTGACCTTACAACACCCGGGGGCCTATGTGAGAGAGAAGTAGTCGATTGCAAAATAGAAGTGGAAGATGAAAGAGAAGGAAGAGAACGATATAAATAAACAGTAGAGAAGAGAAAGAGGAAAAGAGATAAAAGGGAAGAAAGAGAGAGAGAGAGAATCGGCGATTGCGAAATCGAAGAGGAAAAAGATTAATCAAATAAATAGTCGTAGAAAGACAGACATGGGAGATAAAAGGTCATTGAAGAAAATGAAATAAAATGGAGAGAATGAAAGAGAAAAGAGAAAATTGTTTATAAAGAAAACATACAACACATTTTAAGAAGGGTCTTTTACTTTTTACAGTTTTTAATGTTTCAGTTGATTAGAGTGAGAAGATGATAATCAGAAACCGCTGAAGAAACAAAAGAACAAATTTGCTATGAGAAAATACAAAACATGAAGCTAAATATTTGATGATTAAAACAAATAAAGGAATACAATTAAGACGAGATCACATAGACATGGCTGTACTGAAGAGAGTTGAAGAGAGAAACGACGTCCCTTTTAACAGAATCCCAGAATAGTTGCATTACAACGAAAATAGACAAACTATTTCAAAATAATAATTTTTGTCTGTGCAAACAGAATTTATTCATCTGACCGTCTCTCTTCAAGACACGGGTGATCATAGCTCTCAACCAACTTTGTATCTCTGAGTAAGCTTTGTCTTTTTGCTATCTCCTAATATTTGTTCTGCCATCCATTTACACATGCTTTGTAGGTAGGTTATTCGCTGCTTTCTTCTGAACCTCTTGCTTTCAATGTCCTGTGAGTGTCAAATTCTCCAAGCTCTATTTTCTCATTATGTGCCCGAGAAATTTCAACTGTCTCTTTTCGATTTGATGTATTTTTCTTTTCATTTTCCCTAAAACTACCTAGTTGCTCATATGTTCAGTTCATTGTATTCTCAGTATGCTTCTGTAGAACTATATTTCTGCTACTTCAAGGCTCTTCATCCGTCAGTCGATTGTCTAACATTCATATAGGAGGACCGATATTACATAACAGTTTAGCGCTATTTTCTTTGTTTCTAACGAAATTGTCCTGTTTTTTTTTTTATATTTTGCTTAGTTTTTGAAGGCATCTTTCCCTATTCCAATGCGCCGTCGGATTTCGGTGTCATTTTTTGTCATCTGTTAAAACACTAATATTTAAATTTCAGATTCCTAGTTCGAATTTACCAACTATTTGACTCTTTCCTTCCCTACTTGGCATTCACTACGACGATTACAATTTCTTGTGTTTTATACGGAGACTTAGCGTTTTCTAGTGCACTGTAAAACTTTTCAATTTCTTCTTTCATATTTTGTCTTGTCGGTGCATATACACCAACGTATATATTATATATATGTAGATTTCATCAAATTTCTTGTAGCTAAACTGTTTTCAGTTTAGCTACAAGAAACCTGATGAAATCTACATTATTTGCCCTCCCCCCCCTAGTTTCGCATATACTTTAAATATTAACATTTAACGTATTGACTTCATGCTTTGTATTTTCTGATTGATCACATTGATTTAGTGTTTTGACGTTCCATTTCCCTAAAACTAATTATCCTTGATGCGTGCAATCACTTGATGATGGTCTGTCACTCATGTTTTTACTTGCCGGACGGAGAATTACTTCTGATCCCCTTCACGTCGTTTGTTCATTATAGCTTTACTAAGAGAACTACAAAATTCGAAACTATATAACTAAAAGCAGCAAATGAATTCCAAACGAATGCAAAAAAAAAAAAAAATAGACAAGAATAGGTGATCAACTGAGCACAAATTAGGAGCTGGAGAATTGAGGAGGCTTGCTGTCACTTGATCTACATTAAAATCATTAGTTGGAGTGAAGGAAAAAGGAGGTGAATAAGAACGACAGTGATGATAATTATAAGAATGAGAATAAATAACACTAATGAAAGTCGATAAAAAGAAAATGAAAGCAAGAACGTCGATAGAAAGACAAACAAAAATAAAAGGGATAACCTAAGCATTGCATTTTTGTATCAGGCACTAAATAATTCGCTTAGAGACGCATGTGTGTACACATACATCAACTCACTGTAAATATCTACGCACGCAAGCAAACAGAGTTTTATCTATCTATCTATCTATCTATCTATCTATCTATTAGTTAATTTGTACAAGTTTATTTAAACCTGCATAAATTAACTATATTTGTAATGGATATCACCCTAAGGAAGGCAGTAATGCCACTAAAACGCGAGAGGTTACAGAGTGTGGAAGAATTAGGAAAAGAAACAATAATGAAAGAGAAGGTAGTAATCAGGAGGACAGTAGATAGCGATTGACATTACATTAAAATTTTGCATATTAAAGATGGCTGGAAAGCATGGAGCTGGAAGGGAGTTCTACAGGTGAGAGGTGAGAGAGAAGAAATTGTTAGCATAGAATTTACGGCTACATCTAGCCTGCTCAATTGCAAATTGATGAGATCTCGACGCCAGTCTAGTGCTGTGCCTAAATTCAAAAAGGCTAGGTGCCATAGCGAAAAGCTCATCCGAACAATTACTATGAAAGTATTTCTAGAAAAGACGGCGGTGAGAAAGTGAATGGAGCCGAGGTCTCCAGATTAGGATCAATAGTAACAACTGATTCTTCTTTGGATCTTACCAAGGAGCTCAAGGTAAATAGCAGGGGTACCGGACCATATGTGGCAACAGTATTCTAAATATGAACGAATGGTAGACTTATAGATATGTAAGAGAAAAATTGTCTCGCCCGATTCTTTCAACAAGCAATGGAATTAATATAATCTTTCCACTTCATATCAGCAGAGAATGGTGTGCTCAAGAAGGTACAGCATATTACTATTATAAATATTATTTTAGTAGATACACATGTTTGAGTTGCTATACCTGTTTTTTGGGGAGGGGGGGTAATTTTCTTAAATAGTGAAATTAATAACAACCGACCTAGATCGAGAAGTCATACTACAGAAAGATTTTGCCTTCCGGCATGATTCAAACCTGTATCATTTTTTCCGGCACTCTGAATCCTACCAAATACATATAGTATGTGAAGGACAATTTGATGCCAAACTTGGATGAAAGTTAGATTTTTCAACATGCTTGTGATCTATATCACAAACTGCCGGCAATACAATAAAGTTTGTCTGATGAATGTCTCAGCTTACGGAAAGATTGCCCAGTTCAGATTCAAGATATCGTGACTTAAATATAAGCAAGCAAATATAAACAGGATTAAAGAACTTATTAGAAGAATCCAAGCAATGTTGAAGATTTTTGGGAACGCAGTAACAGAAGAATGGTATCTCATGCGTGTGAAGATAACAAAGGATTTGTAAACATTGTTCACCAGGAATTACCAGACAAACATAATAAAAATGGTACAAACACAATAGGTTTTGTGAACAATATGTTGAGTTTAATGATCACTTAGGTTGCCCCATCGTAACACCGAAGGAAGATCGATATGAATGGGCAGTAAATTCATTAAGAGGTTATGTCAAAATTATAGTGTCCCAGATAATGAAAATGGCATGAACCCGTCATAGAAGGTCATGAAGTCTATTCTTTATAACTTTACTATTCATACTGACAGACATATAAAAGCTAATAGACAAGACATTGAAAGACTACAAATAAAAAAATCCCTTTCACAGATATGATAAACATTTATCTGGTAAGAAGTTGATAATTCTAAGTAAATATTATGATCTTGAAACTGAAGTTAAAAAATGTGACACCATAAAGTTATTGTTATGCCTATAATAATTGGGGCCCTGGGCAAAGTAAGAAAAAGGTCCGACAAAAACATTAACATGGCTGCTGGTAAATCATTTTTATAAACGATTAAAAAACACAGGGTATGAAACTGCTCATCTACTAAGGAGATTAATTGTTAAATAATAGTTTCAGAAGAGAAGGAGCATGCAACATAAGACAATTTGGCGCAGTGACCAACACCTCCCATCATTGGGGAGGGGACGCAGAATGAGGGTTGCAACACAATATGCAAAAGTTCAGAGAGGATTTTCAACTGAAGACTGAAAAAAAAAAAACGAAAAAAAAATATATAAAAAAAGAAAACAAGCAATCTAGACATAAGTACGATGATATTACTTTGTCTACTGCCATACACACACCTTCAACAAACCAAAATAAGAAGTAATGATGAAAAAAACGAGAAAAAGGAAAAACAGTAAACAAGCAGCGTTTGATGGACAGAAACGTGAGGACGAATAGAGTAAAAAAAAAACAACAAAAAAAAAACGATATTTGATGTTTTGTTTTGTTTGGTTTTTACAAAAGTTTAGACCATGTGCGGAAATCTATTGTTTGATTTTGATTGGCATGTTTAAGGTTTTTGGGTGCATCCAAATTTTATGTGTCAGGTAGCCTTTTGGCCACGTGGAGGCCTGAATTTGCGTACATGAACGCAATGGAATTTTTTGGGGAAAAGAAAGACTGACAGTATTTTGTGATGGGGCATTCGCACTGTGATTTCTGTGGATTGTTAATGAGTTTAAGTTTTAATTGTTAAGTTTTCGTGACTCTTGTTTTTGCATGCATTCAAATGTTTTTAATTTAAAATTATTTTGTTAATTGTAATTACCTGACAAATGATTGTTTTTTTTTTCATTTTTGTAACAGAGTGTGGAATTTTTATTTTAAGAACCGTGTGTGTCATTTTGACTTCATCGGTTTGTTAATTAAGTATTAATTGGTGAATTTTGAGAATGAATTTTCTTGTGGCAAAGTAAATTAGCTAATTGTTGTTCGGCTTGTATGGTTCTGGATTTCCGAATATGTTGGATCTGTCTCCTGGGGTTGAAATGGTTACACTTAGCTATGTAATTAGGGACCCGATGATTTATGGAAAGTAGAATGTAGGCCTGTGGGCTATGAAGTATTTATATCGAACAAATATACCCTAAGATACCCTCGGGGTCAAGTTTTGGGGCCCTCGATGACCTAGTGGAATTGGTCAGGTGGCTTATGGAATGCAAAGTTGCAGTAGCGACTAAGGGAAGTTGAAACCCTTGTAAACACGGTAGATTCAGCAATGGATTAGTTCGGAGGTGTTGAGCGGGTGTGTTTCTTCCATGTGAGGTGGGCAGCCAAGAGCAGGAGGAAATAGAGATGGTGCGAGCTGAGTTTTGACACACAGAGGCAGATGATCACTAACAGTAACTAAAGGAAATTAATAATGGTAAAAAAAAATGTGAAGATCTGTTCAAATGACTCTGGTAAAATGAAAGTAAAGAAGCAATAGGTTGTTTGAATAAATAGGGTGATAATGAACCATGTGTGTTGTCACTGTGAATGCGAGAGAAGTGTAGATCATACCATATTTAATATGTAAAAATTAGGTGTCAAGGACGTGGGTCAGTTGAGGCGTGGGGCTTTTGGCATGTATTGTGTTGTTTTTTTACCAGTATTTGATTTTCAATTAATTATATGTACATTTTGTGTAGTTTCAAGTGAAGACGCAAGGGATTTTGTTCACCCCAGAGGTTGTACATTCTGACATGGGTGGAGTAGGTTACTGTTGAAGTGACTTGCATCCAGGCTGGTGTCTGAGGCATTGACTTTGGGTCACAGAAGCTAGTGACCAAGAATGGACAAAAGGATTGTCCGGTATTCTGTTATTTGTTAAAAAAAGATTTGTGAAGCGTGAAAAACTGGTCAGAATTTCGTTGTTTATATTTCTTTCTTTTTCCGGAATTGTTTACGTGCATGCTGGAGTGGTAATATGAACGAGGCCCAATGAAAAAAATTTGTAAGGCGCACGCGAATTAATAGAGTGTGTTTCAGGAGTAAGAAGTTTTTTCTTTTTTTGATGGTTGGGTAAGGAGTGTTAAATATAATTTAGTTGAAATAAAATTCATGAATGAACATTTTTTATGGTTAGGTAAGGAATGTTAAATAATCAAATTATTCGGTGTATTTTGGCTCAGACCCTCAGATGGTCGACAAAATAAACATCTCGATTTTGATTGGCTGACCCGAACGTGAGAATGCTAGAAAGTGTTTTCGACTAGTTTACAGGTCGAGAATGTAGACGTGTTATTTTCGTGTATGAAACTTGCTCCCCAGTTGGGGTGATAGAGCGACTCCATTGATTAGTTAGAAATGTACACGTCGATGTGTTTAATGAAATAGATAAGTTTAAAAATCCCTTTTGTTGAAGTTCTCTTTCATCTCCGGACTCCAAAAATATTTCGACACCCGATTGGGAGGAGACGAGCGAGAGAAGCTACAACGTTATGAGTGAATCAAGACTGTCGCCCCAAGACCACCCCCCTCCACACCAAAGGGCCATGCAACATAATAACAATGCAAAGGTTTTGTTTTTATGACCGATAAAGCCTTTGTGGGCTATTTAAAGCCATAATATATTTTAGATTCTACACTATACCAACTGCAAATCCTACAATGCAAAGAAAATATAAACACTGTACATATTACGTATCACTTAATATCACATTTTACGCGAACAAAATTTATGATTTACATTATTTCTAGGGTAATAACTGAATAGCAACAGCTCATCAGTTAGGATTGTCACTTTTGCTAATAATAAAGTGCTGTACCATACTTTGAATAAAGTGCTGTACCATACTTTGAATAAAGTGCTGTACCATACTTTGAATAAAGTGCTGTACCATACTTTGAATAAAATACCTGTTGCCAGAGAGGATAAAATGCAAACTTAACAATTAATAATGAAACAAATAATAAACTCAGTCCGCATGGAACTTCACGCAGTTAACACGTTCGTTCAGAAGGAGAAAACAGCCAGGGGTAATATATATATATAGCCCTAGCACTAATAAGATATACATTGGGTCCACAAAGAATGATTTTAAAGATAGATGGAGGCAGCATAAGTGCTCTTTCAATAATATAAACAAAAGAAATCAGACTTCCCTATCTAAATATTTTTGGCATCTGAAGGAAACAAATAGGACACCCTAAAGTTAAATGGAAAATTATAAACAAAGGCTAGAACATGTAAAACTTGGGATGACCCATGCCCTTTATGCCTCCATGAGAAATTGCACATAATTAGGCTTCTAAATAATAATAATCTATTAAACAATAGACACGAGTTAACGGTTTTTTGTAGGCATCATCAGATTTTTGG